ACTGTATTTTAGATCGCCTAGTATTTTGAGTGTTTCCTTCCACGTCCGATGTGGAGTAGGGTTCCGTGTCTGAAAGAGGAGCCACACACAAATGAGAGAAAAATGACACGAGATAATTTTAAAATATTGGGGGACCAGGTGGGCAAGTCCAACTCAAGGAGAGGGACTTCCACCCATGCTCAGGCCGCTCCAATCTTTTATTGAGCTTGGAGTAGCCTTAGGTAAGGAGATTTCAATGACACACAGATCAGCAGACAATTTCCAGGAATAGACAGAGTATCTGATGAGCTCATCAGTAGACGATTTCCAGGAATAGGCAGAGTATCTGATCAACAATAATCAACAAGGATCTACACAAGTATCTAAGGAATTAAGTGAACTGAGATGGGGATGATGCTTCAACTACCATTACCTAAATTAACTGGGTGGTTCCTAGATTAACTGGGTGGTGCACAGTTCGGACCTTTGCTAGGACTTCAAAGGTTACTAGCTTTTGGGGGTCTCTGTCTAAACTCAGCTAGTAAAGACAATGAATGGACTCCGACACTAGTACATCATCGTTGTATTATAGGTACACAGGTAATACTTGAATAGGAAATATTGGATGATTAATTACTGGGACTAAGAACTTAGAACAACCCTTTGTCTCCATTCCTGTTTGGTTCCTTGGTCCACCTTGCTCCTCCACAAAAGGATGATATGTCTGTATTGTTCACAATCGCTGCCATATTTATTCTGAACTCATACTTCTCCCTTAGAATATATACATTTCTAGATGGCAAGCCATAGAAGAACATTTTATCAAACAGGACCAGGGTAGGCTCGGTTATACAGTAGTAATTAACTACCCCAAAATCTCAGTGGTTTAAGTAATGCAGAGTTATTTATTTATTTACTGCTCAAAGTACATGTCCATCAGGCTGGCGGGGCTTTGTGCATCATTGATCACGCAGAGATCCAGGGGGACAGAGCAGTCTGCATCTTGCATGTTACTGGTTGCTCTGCTGAGGAAGACAGACAACTCTGAAGGACTCACACTGCAGTTCCAGGGATGACTTGTTGTTTGTTACTAATCGCAACCCCTCCCACGGTTCTCCCCAACCCTAAGGGGACCAGGAAGTGTGATCCTACCTGTGACCAGAAGGCTGGAAAAACTGTCTTTTTTTGTGGTAATTTTGTGAAATACCACAAGTGTGGATACTCTAATTCTGAAAGCTTAGCTGAAATTAGTACTTTCATTTTTAGTGTTTTTGGAGTCCTTGAGTGCCTTGTTTTAAACTAAAGAATTTAAATTTCAGCTCCAAAACAGTATATTTGGAGCTTCTCTAAACATGCCTTCTAACCTTAAAACAGAAACAATACAACTCAAGACAGTGGTAGGGACTAGAGTTTGCATTATAACTTTATACCGTTTGTGTTTGCAACAATTTGAGGTAGGTTGAAGTATATGGAAATTTGCTTCCAGGGTAACTCATCCTGTCTTTAGGCATCTCAGAGGAACATGGTCGAAACAGTGTGTTGTTCTCAATAAAAGATCCCCCATCCACTTAAGTCATCCTTCAATCCTCCTCTTCCTTTGCCTCTAAGCCCCACTGGAAAGGGTCTTCAAAATATGTCCTAGCCCTGGCCTGGTAGCTCAGTTGGTTGGAGTGTTGTCCCATACACCAAAAGGTTGTATTCCCCATCAGGGCACATACCTAGGTTGTGGGTTCGGTCCCTGATCCAGACATGTGCTGGAGGCAATCAATCTGTTCCTCTCTCACATTGATGTTTCTCTCTCTCTCTCTCTCTCTCTCTCTCTCTCTCTCTCTCAAAATCAATAACATGTCCTCTAATGAGGATAATATATATCTATCCACTAATCCATCCACTCATCTCCATCTTTAAATACCCTAATTCAAACCACCGTCTTTTCCTTTAATTACTGCAGTAGCTTCCTGATGTCCCCCAAGATGCTTTTACTCTTAACACTTTTGTTTCTGTTCTCCACAAAATTTGGTAAACTTTTAAAATTAACAAATTGGATAATGTCATTCCCCTACTTATAGCTTTATAAAGGCTTTCTCTGAATTAAAAACTAAACTTAAGGTTTCATGTGAAATGGCCCCTAACTAATGCTCTGAATCTGGGCTCATTCTGCTTTAGATACACTCTGTTCTTGGCTCTTTCTCAATTACGTTAAGATCATTGTCTCTTCAGGGCCTTGCTGTTTCTCCTGGAATGTTTTTCCTTTGCTCTTTCTCATCATTAATTACAGCTCACTTGATACCAGAGAGGCCATCCATGACCCTCACTATCTATAAAGGTACCTTTCCTCCTACTCCCCACCCCCCACACTCTCATATTGCCACATTTTAATTTGTATAGTACAGGGGTGGGCAAACTTTTTGACTCGAGGGCCACAATGGGTTCTTAAACTGGACCGGAGGGCCGGAACAAAAGCATGGATGGAGTGTTTGTGTGAACTAATATAAATTCAAAGTAAACATCATTACATAAAAGGGTATGGTCTTTTTTTTTTTAGTAGTTTGCCCATGGCTGGTATAGTACATATTATCCTCTAAGATTCTATTATTTTCTCTTCTCTTTTCTCTTCTAGAATGTAAGTTCCATGAGGGTAGGTAGGGACCTTATCTGTGCTGTTCACTATTATATCCCAGTCACTAGAATAATTCCTTACATTTAATAGGTGTTTAGTAAATATGTTCGGGAAAATGTAGCAAATCTCTTTCTGAGCCCTTGTAAACTCTTTGTCCCAAAATGGAAGAGAGGAGTATGAAACTTGGGCAAGTTCCTTGAATTATTTGTATTATAATTCTTAGCCGTAGAATCATGGTGATAGACTTGTAGGTCCATGATCTTTAACGTTCCTTCTAGCTTTAGAATTCTATGAATTTTAAGTATTTTGTAGTGTCTCCAATTAATTGTTAATACTTAATTATTTTAAAAAGATATAAAGTATTTTTCTACTGATATCTAATATGCAGTATACAAGACTTCTTAAGAAGTGATATTTTTAAAAACTTTCTAGGAAATACAGTCCTATTGTAACACAATATATGCATTCCTAAAAATTACTGCACTATGCAGAATTGTACCATAAACTGAGAAAAATTGGATTAGGTTTACAACACTCAACAATTTTGCCAGTTACACATTAAAAAATATAAAAACTTAAAAATGGTAGCGTAATTCTACACTTGTTAAGTGATTAATAAAGAGGAAATTGCTATAATAAATACAGGCAGTCCTCGGGTTACATTGGACTGGTTACATAGCCATCTCCCATTTACAATATTTATTTTAAAAAAAGTTCTGTCATTTCGATGTATATACATATGTGTTTTATGTTTTTTATTATTTATTTACTACTACAAGTAAAGGTCAGGAATTGTTATCTTTACACTTTTTTTTACTGCTTCACGTCATTACTGCTGTGTATGTGCTCCATGTGAGTGAAGTAGGTGCTTATGTAGGTGGGTTCCGACTTAACGGCGAAAATCGCGTTCCGTCGCGCTGTAGGAACGGATCTCCAACGTAACCCGAGGACCTACTATGGTCCTCTGCCTTGTAAAAGATCTGAGATTTGTGTGTTAAAATGGGCTTCGAAGGCCTGCAGCTGGGAAGCTTTGAGAAGTGGTGCAAAGGGAGTTGTCTGAAATCTGACAGAAAGTGGTCACATCAGGGGTGTCCAGGGGTGGCCTTGGCGGCAGTGAGCCGAGGCAGCGGGCAGCCAACGGGCAGTGTGTGCATTTGGTGCCTCTGCAGCGCTCCTTTCAGTTTCCTGAACTCAGTTCCAATACGCCCAGTTTTCTGTGTTTGTTCCAGAGGAGAAATTGCACATAAACAAATGTGAAATCAGTGTTATGCTGAAGTGGCTCCTTAATATACTAATCGCACATAGGGACAAGTTTGCATTTCAAAACAGGCATAACAGTGGAAATGAAATTTTAGACTTAAAAACAGCTACATGAATATTACAGCTTCCATATAGCTCACCAGTTCCTCGAAACATTTACATCTTATATAACCATAGTACCATGATCAAAACCAGAAAATAAACATTGATGTTGTACTGTTAATTAACCTTCAATCTTGTTCACATTTTGCCATTTTTTTATTAGTATTTTTTTGTTTCAGGATCCAGCTCAGGATCCCATATTTCGCTCAATTATCATATCTTCTTAGTCTTCCTCAGTCACGGACAGTTCCTCATTCTTTCTTATTTTTCCTGATCTTGATAGTTTAGAGAGTCCTGACCAATGAGTTATTTTGTGATGTATTCCCCTAATTTGTGTTTGTCTTCTGTTTCTTCATGGTTATGGTTAGATTGAGGTTATTCATTTTGGACAAGGAACCCACAGAAAGGATATCATGTGGCCTTCTCCGTGCATCATATATATGAGATTTGGGACATTGATTTTTAAAATTATATTCTTTTTGATTTTAGAGAGGAAGGGAGAGGGAGAGAGAGATAGAAACATCAGTGATGAGAGAGAATCATTGATTGGCTGCCTCCCACACGCCTCCCACTGTGGATCAAGCCCACAACCCAGGCATGTGCCCTCACTGGGAGTCGAACTGTGACCTCCTGGTTCATGAGTTGACGCGCAACCACTGAGCCACGCCAGCTGGGCTGGGACATTACTTTTTAAGATGTTCAGTGTTTCAAAGGTTTAGTTGTATAATTAAATTTGTTGTTTATACTTTACAGTCACCTTTTAATATGAGTTTTAATATCGTTCATTTTTATCGGTTCTTTGACATTATTTCTTTTCTTATGGATTATTTATTTCCGTAAGTTCTATGAAAAAGAATTATAGTATTATGGATAATGCCTTTCTATCCGTTGGTTATTTTTCTTTCTGAAATGTAGTATATTTTGATACCTCAATTATTTGATCAATTTGAAGGGTATAATATTTTTGAAGTAGTGGTATTGTTATATATTTGTAAAATCTTATATAATTTTATAATTATAATATATAATTTTGTTTCAGTTTCAATAGTAATGGGAATTCCTACTGTGAAGAGAGAAGTTAAATCTTACCTCGTAGAAACTCTTCATTCCCTTATTGATAATCTGTATCCTGAAGAGAAATTGGACTGTGTAATAGTAGTCTTCATAGGAGAGGTAATTATTTAATTGTTGTGATTTTTACACCTATAATCTATGAGTTAAAATTATAATTGAATATTTGAATATACTTCTATGTGCATTTTTAAAAAATGTGAGTAAAGTTTAGGTAATGTATTCTATCCAATGGTTACATTTGCAGCTACAATTGAGGATAATATTACATACATAAATCTTTCAGAGCAGTGAGTCCCTGTTTCTAGTTATAGAACCTAAATTTGGAGATTGGCACTGGTGTTCTTTGGGAGTATAGAAAGCTGAGAAAAGTTTAGCCTAGACATGGGTTTTATCATCTTGTTATTCTCTTGACCCCTTGTCTGTACTCTCATCCATTATTGAAAAGGTAAGATATCATGAGAATGAGGAATATTATATTTATTGTATTTTTAGTTTCCTCAAAAGATCTAGGGAGAGACTAAATCTTGAGCAAGTTTTTCATAAATAATGAGAAAAATCACCCTGAAGTAATTATTTTCTTAATTATTATATAGAATTTCAGAATGTGAAAGGATTTAGGACATCAGCTGGTTCTTGCCCACTGATTCCCAGCTTTTCAGTGTTTCCCTATCTTTCTAAATGAAAGTGTTTTTAATGTATTTCTTAATATAAGAATAGAACACATGCTTACTATTTAAAACAATTACAGAAATGTGTAATGAAAAATTACCTGCTATTCCTCCATACAGATATAATAATTAGATATTCTGAAATATTTCTTAAGAAATATTTTCCTTCCCTAGCTAGTTTGGCTCAGTGGATAGAGTGTTGACCTGTGGACTGAAGGGTCCCGGGTTTGATTCTGGTCAAGGATACATGCCTGGTTTGCAGGCTTGATCCCCAGTGAGGGGCATGCAGGAGGCAGCCAATCAATGATTCTCTCCCTTCCTCTCTGAAATCAATAAAAATATGTATTTTTTAAAAACTAGAAACAGCCCTAACGAAAGAAAAATATTTCCTGTGGCTTGTGTACATATATAAATGGATTTGTTCTATATGTATTTTAACCTCCTATGGGCATTTAACAAAATATATTTATTATTGATTTCAGAGAAGAAGTTAGAGGGAGAGAGTGATAGAAACATCAATGATGAGAGAGAATCATTGATTGGCTGCCTCCTGCATGCTGCATACTGGGGATTGAGCCCAGAACCTGAGCTTGTGCCCTGACCGGGAATCGAACCATGACCTCCTGGTTCATAGGTTGACACTCAACCAATGAGCAATGCCAGCTGGGCTCATAGACATTTTTTCATGTTAAGAATAGGTACCACTGCCCTGACCGGTTTGGCTCGTTGGATAGAGCGTCGGCCTGCGGAGTGAGGGGTCCGGGTTCCCTTCCAGTCAAGGGCATGTACCTGGGTTGCGGGCACATCCTCGGTGGGGGGTGTGCAGGAGGCAGCTGATCGATATTTCTCATCGATGTTTCTAACTCTCTATCCCTCTCCTTTCTTCTCTGTGAAAAATCAATAAAATATATTAAAAAAAAGAATAGGTATCACAACATCATTTTTTCTGGCTACAAAACATTCCATTGTGTGGTTTTAACATAATTTATTTAATTTCTGATTGCTAGACATTTAGACTGTTTCCAAGTTTTTGCTGTTATTTTCAGCATGGCATAAATTTTGTGTCCTTTGTTTAGTTACTGAGGTGTGATCAGTTTCTAAATGTGGAATTGCCTTGGTCAGAGTTCACATACATTAAAATGTTTGTGCATGGCCAACACGCCTCACAGAGATGAGCCAGTTTATGCCTCTTCCAGCGTTCTGTGAGAAAGCTTGTTTCCCCATCCGCATGCTCTCCTCGATCATATCCGTCTTTAGTTTTTTCGTCAGTTTGATGCGTAAAAAATAATACATTGCTTTTGCTCAGTTTGGATTTCTTTGCTGATGGGGTTAAATGCTGATTTATAGGTTTTTCTTGCACCATTTGTATTTATAATTGTTTTTATAACCTTCGCTCTTTTTTAATTTGTAAGAAAATTTCACATATGAGAGGAATAAATTCTTTGAAATTCATATTTAGTTCAGTTTGTCTTTTGCAGGAACTTTGTATTTTTTTGTCTGTTATAGAAATTTTACATCTTAAGTAATTAAATTTGTCACTTGCATATTGTATACCAGTAGAAATTGATACAACCTCCTTGGAAAGCATTTTGGCAATAGCTATTAAAATTTAAAGTCTACTCTGTGACCCAGCTTTCTGCTTCTAAAAATTGATTCAGTAGTAACAGTTGTAGGTGTGAAATCTACTCAAGCACATACACACATGTAACAGCTCCTGTTGCTTTAATGAAATAGAGAAAACGGTCCTGTGTCATATCCCATCAACTGTTAGTAGAAGGAACCTTGAGAGTTGGGATTATGGGAAGATGCCACTTTCTGTTGCACACAGTTTTACAAAATGAGAATTTTTTTTTTACAATGAACATATATTGATTTTTATTCAGAAAAAAAGTCTTATTACCGTAAAAGAAGAAAATTATCCTTATACACTTGAAAAATAGTGTTCAGTATATAGACAGATTCGTGTACATAAAGATTCAAGACCCTCTGGCCATTGCCTTTTATCTGGTACTAAGATGTCATAACAATGGGTTTGGAGTCAGATGACCTGGGTTCAGGGCCTGGATTCTGCCACTTGAGCTGGTCCCTTTTCTTTCTTCAGCCTCAGTGTCTTCATCTCTAAAATGAGAATAATGTTCTCGAGCCTTTTGAGCTCGGTGTTGGTACAGGGAAGCACAAGGAGATCACTGATGGAGAGGTGTTGTACATTCAGGTGTGGGCAGTATTCTGATCTCTGAAGACTCCTCCTCCTGAATTGCAGTATTTATGTATGTATCTGTATAGAATTTTAGTATTTGGAAGAAAATCTGTACTGAAAGAAGAATTAATTTACAGAGTTGTTTGAATTGCTTTTAGGCAGTTTAAAATTCTTTATTATTACATTTGATTCTACCTTAATTCATAGTTTTAACCTAAGTGTCCAGTAGCTTGGGGCTCATTAACACTAGTAGCAAGTGATAGTCTGTTTAATATTTCTTATAGCGCTGTATCATTGCTCATATCGTTTCTGTCATTCATGATCATTTCTGACAAAACGTTTTCCTACAATGTACTCTGAATTTTAGCAAAAATTCTTTTTCCTGTCCCATTCTTATATTTGGAGAGTTCCCTATTTTATGAATCTTGGTGGAGGAAGGAAGTACCTCCTGCCCACTATTGAAACTAAAAATGTCAGATGTTTCCTTTACTAGTTCAGGCATGTGACCTTGGCTCAGCCCCTTGGTATTCCTATCCTGGACTTGGCGTGGTGCTTTATTATTTTCAGTTGACACAGAAAACCCAAACGGATAAGCACACAGATTATTACATTATTAGAATTAATGGGAATTTATCAAGGTGGCTGAATATAGGATCAACTTATGTTTCTAAATGCCAGTAACAAAAAATAAGGAAATACCATTTAGAATAAATATTTTTCTAAAGAAGCAGAGACTGTGGACAGCCCATTACGGTGACAGATGGTGGCTGCGGGGGTGTCTTTCCCATGGTCACAGGGCGGGGTTCAGAGGCACTGAAGGCTGGTGAGGGCTTTGCAAGTTGTAGCATTGGGAGCAGGTGGTGGTTTCTGGCTGTCGTCCAGCTTTATTTCTGCCGCCTTCCAGGCCTGGTTCCTCGGCCTCGCTGGAGGTCCTGCGAGTTCTGCCTCTCATCTTTCAGTGTCTGCCTGTTCTGCCACAGTCAGTTTCTATTGCTATGAAGATCCTGACTGATACAGCTTACAACTTGTTCAAAAATACCTCAATTGCTATAAACAGAACATGTAGTCAACATGGATGTGCAGAGCTAGGTGGCTAAATGCTATTCCAAGTGAAAGAGATGAAATCAATTTTTAAGGTGCGTTTCAGATAGAATATTGCCTAATTTATAACAGCCACATAATGTTGATGACCGTACAGATTGCTGAGAATTTGGAAAGAGAACTTTATTTTTTGGTTTTGTTAATCCTCACCCAAGGATATATATATTTCCATTGATTTTTTAGAGAGTGGCAGGGAAGGGAAGAGACAGAGAGAGAAATGTTAATGTGGGAGAGACACATTGATTGGTTGCCTCCTGCACGTGCCCCAGTCGGGGCAGGGGATCCAGCTTGCAACTGAGGTACGTGCCCTTGACCAGAATCTAACCTGCACTCCTTCAGTCTGAGGGCCAATGCTCTAACCACTGAGCAACTGGCTAGGACTGAAAAAAGAACTTTAGCTAGCATATCTTTACGTAGCATATCTTTTATATCATTACTAGAGGCCTGATGCATGAAATTTGTGCAAGGGGCTTGGCCCCCCGCCACTGCAGCGGCTACCTCTGCCTCGGCCCCACCCACCATGGCAGTTGCCTCTGCCTCAGCCCCTGCCAACGCTGCGGCTTCCTCCGGAAGGATGTTTGGTCTAATTAGCATATTACGCTTTTATTATTATAGATGACTATTCACATTGTTTCTGTAATTTGCGTAAAAACATTCCAAAGGCATGTTAAAATGTTAAGTTCCTGAACTGAAGAATTCAAATTGAGATTCTATAATGAAATAACAAATTCGTCATGTTAGAAAAGCACCTAAAGGTAGTCTCTGAAAAATTGAGTTTACAGAATTTCCAGTTCACAGTGTGTTTAGAATATAGCATGAAAATAGTTTTGCTTTTTACTATTGTACACATTTTAGTTTGTGTTTTGTAGTTTGTTTAGAGCGCCTGAGGCCATTACTATGCCCCCTTCCTCCCTTCCTTCCTTCCTTCCTTCCTTCTTTCCTTCCTTCCTTTCTTTCTTTCTTTCTTTCTTTCTCTCTTTCTTTCTCAGTGTGTTTCTTTTTTTTCTTTTTTAAATATATTTTATTGATTTTTTACAGAGAGGAAGGGAGAGAGATAGTTAGAAACATCGATGAGAGAGAAACATCGATCAGCTGCCTCCTGCACATCTCCCACTGGGGATGTGCCCACAACCCAGGTACATGCCCTTGACCGGAATCGAACCTGGGATCTTTCAGTCCGCAGACTGATGCTCCATCCACTGAGCCAAACCGGTTTTGGCACTATGCCTTCTTTAAAATTCTTTTATTTAAATTGTGCTAACAGTGCTAGTTGGCTTATGGGCAGAAATATGCAAAGCAGGTAAATTTATAAATGAATACAGAAGTTGAATAACAGAATTGATCAAATTGCTATAGGGTTTTTAAAATTTTTCTATTATATACTTTATTTGCTAGGAAACAGTGTTTACCGTTTATTCTTGGGATAGGTAATATGATCTCATGCTTAAAAATTATAAACGTGTGTTGTATACTTTGAGAAGTCTCCCTTTAGTGCTGTTCCTTAGTCACTATTACCTCTCTACAGGCAACAGCTGTTAACAGTAGTTGTTCCCATTCAGAGACATTTAATGTGTATACATGTGGATATATTCTTTTCCGCACTATTTCTATGTAGATGGTATAATATTAACTTTTTATATTAGCACATAAAGACCTATATAGATTCCTTGTAAAATATTTTTCTAGAAATTTATTCATTTTACCTAAGTTTTAAAATTTGCTTCATACAAAGTGGAGCAAAGTCGACTCTTGTTCTTTTTGTGGTTATTTCCCCCTGATTTCTTTATATATGTGTGTATATTGTAGTCTCCCTCTTTTTAGCTAGTGGATCTGTTTTTATTATTTCAAAAACCATCTTTTGGGTTTGTTTTGTTGTTGTTGTTTTCTGATGAATACTGGCTTTAAAAAATTTTTTAATACTGGCTTTTAACATTATTAATTTTCCACTTTTGTTAGTTACATGTTATACTTGTCCCAGATACTAAATTGATTTATTTCCATTATTTCTTTTTGTTAATATAAGAATTACTCTGAATTTTTTCCTGAACACTGTGTTAGCTGCATTCCATAGGTTCTGTATTCTAGATTTGTATCTGATTTTCATTGGTAATTGCATGTAATGTCAATGTTGTGTTCCTGGGTTAACTCTGATTAAGTGGTTTAGTCTTTTCTAGTGAGACAGCTTAGTGTTTTCAGGCAGAAATTAGTTACCTGAGTGCTTGGGAACTTTTTACACCCCAAAGCACTTGAGAAATAAAGAGTAGCCCTCTCTATAGTTATGTTTTCTTAAGCTCTCATAATTACCCGTCTTTTTTAGTTGTTAGTTGTTTCTATTCTTGATTTTAAACTACAGATTACTATGTTGGTGCATCAGTGGTATTTTGGCTTGTAATTTTTCAGCAGCTAGATTTTAAGATGTTCACTTATGCGTTGGTTATATATCATACAAATCTAATGGGAAAGAAATTGGAGATATATAAAATTTGCTTGTAATTCAACAAATATTTACTGACACAGTGATAAGCCAGTCCTATCACTGAACAAAACAAAGCCTCTGCCCAATGAAACCTACATCAGAGAGAAGGACAGATGAGACAACTAATACATAGTACAGCGATTTTCAGCCGGTGTGCCACAAGAATGTTTAAAACATTCAATACCTGACTATTTAGTCTGGGGGACTGAGCTCTTTTCCCTTAGATTGTAAAAAAGAAAAAGAAAAAAAAAAGACGAGAGCCAACACAAACAATAGCTGTCTGATGTGAATGAATCAAAACTGTACCTATTTTTTTTCTGTCAAATCAGCAAAAAATGTATTTTTTAAACATAAGGATATTATGTGTGGATTATTTATGGAGCACTTGCACTTCATAAATTTTATTACACATGACATGATAAATCTGTATTCACATAAGTTTATTCTTCTTGGCCCCCTTTTAAAGAGTCCCCTGGCGATAGGGAGCTGGCCCTAATCATACTGTTTCCTTGGATAGGCACTCAGTAAATGGTAATCAATTTGAGTTTCAGGTTGTTGCTAAACTTATTCAAGTTTATATAAACCAGGCTTGGTCATGTGCTCCAAAATTAGATCCGGATGAGTTAGTCAGATACTTACTGGGTGATACTTTATGGAAAATGAGCTCACTACTGTTTGTGTTTATGAAGGGGAAGTGGGCTGTGTTCTAGTTGTATCTCACTCCTAAGTCTTTAAATTTAACAATAAAAAGAGAAATTACTTTCAATTAAGAGAAATTAAAGTTAAACTATTCTAATGAACAGAACAAACTGACGAACAAAATAGATCCAGAGACATTGAAACATGCAACAGACTGACATATGTCAGAGGGAAGTGGGGGTGGGTGGCCAGAGATTAACCATAAAACTTAGATGAATACTAGAGGCCCGGTGCACGAAATTCATGCACAGGTGGGGTCTCTGGGGTGGTCTGTGGAGATCAGGCCCTAGCTTGTACCCCCAGCCTCACAGCCCCAGCTCACATCCCCAGCCACGCAGACCTGCAGCTCTGCCTGGCACCCCACCTTGGCCTGGTGCCGCCTGCTCCACCCCCACCCCCCCGCCGCTGCTGGTCACCGTCTGTAGGGTGATTGGCAGGGCGATCGGGCCCCTGCTTGCACCCGCGTTGACCTGGCACTGCCCACTCACCTGCTACACCATCCCGCTGTGGTCCCACTGTCATCGGGCCCCATTGGGGCCGGCTGTGCCTCCACTGCCACCCGCTGCCAGCGCTGCACCGCTCACATCTCCCATGTTCCGCACTGCCCGCTGGTGGTCAGCGCACGTCATAGTGAGCGGTTGAACTCCAGACAATTTGCATATTAGGCTTTTATTATATAGAATATGCATAGCCCATAGACACGGACAATAGTGCTGGGAAAGCCTGGAGAGGGGGCCGAGCTGGGTGAGGAGGTCAATGGGGGATAAAGGAGGACACGACAATACTCAACAATAAAGATCAATTAAATAAAATAAAATAAACTCTCATAAAACAAAATTTTATAATCCAAAAGTTTTGTAATTTCTAGGGTTAAGTTTTATATTTGTTTTTCCTCAATTTTTAAGTGTTTTGGTAGTCTTTATAACATAGATCAGACTTGATGTGTCATTTACTTTAACAATGGAGCATTTTAATGTAAGCTGTCACTGAATTTAAAATTGATAGGGTTATTGGATCTTTGCTTACAGTATATAATTTCAAAGTACATAGGCCTGATAAATATTTACTTCTAACTCTGGTTAAAATGCTCTTGACTTTGGTTTTTATTATCAACTTGATAATAATAATACAGAATAATACAGCTTTTTGTTCCATTTTTATCACTTACTGTCATAGTCTCTGAGATGATTTTTCCTCCCACTTTTTTTTTTTTTAAATAGGGCAGGAAACTGAGGCTCAGAGAAGTGGCTTACTCTAAGTTGTACAGGCCAGTGAGTACAGAGGCGAATCTTGAAGCTAGGTTTTATGATTTGCAGTGGACACATCTTCCCTGTCGCCTGCTTACAGACACTGTTCATTCATTACTTACAGTTTGGATATTTCAGAAGAAGTAGTAATAGTTTTTGTGCTTAATTTTTTCTATTGAACATCGACAATTGAAAATAACGAAACCTTAGTTATCTACTTACTGTATTAGTAAATACTCAGTGATATCCAGTGGTGCATTAAAGTAGAATACTGGTACATAAATGCAAATCCCATAACTTACCTGAAAATCTAATGTAATGTTTTCAATGAATGTTTTATTCACTTATTTGATTTTGAGTTCAGTATTAAAAGTTAAATAAAAAAGTAAAAACAATGAACGTAGGTACAATTTTCTTTTCTTTCCCAGACAGATATTGATTATGTACACGGTGTTACAGCCAACCTGGAGAAAGAGTAAGTTCTTCTTAATTATGGAAGTGAAAATAATCATTACTATTATCTCTTCTCTTTCTGCTAAAAGATAATGCCTTCTTTTATAATTCATTTCTCTGGAATTCAGTGTTCATTGGACCACCTATAATTGGTCTTTGGCATTGTCATAAAGAAGGTGCACATCTAGTTATCTGATGGGATAAATTGGTATATTTAGAAAAAACTTGAATGTTATATGTATGTAACATTATCAAATAACAGTCTTTAATCTGGAGAACAGTGAACATAGAATCATACGAGATTGCTTAAATTTTTCACCGTGTTTACCAAGCAGAAATTTTCTGCTATTATGGCAGACAGTCATTTAGCAGCTTCAAATCGCAGTGCTAAACTATGTCTGAATCTAATCTGTTTTGCAAAGGTTGAGGAACAATTTACTGTGAGCAAGGCACATCGCAGGTAACTACAGATAGAAAGTTTAGTAAACTTCAGGTATCATTAATTTGTAAAATACTGCTTTGGTGGTAGTTTTAATAGTAACGTTAAAAAATCAGTCTTGATATGGTTTCATCATTGAATTCTGCCTGTTTTTGCCCCCTAAACACTTACCTTCTACTTAAAAAGACAAAAGAGAAGCAACAATTATTTGCCAACTCTAGATTTAAAATATTGTGGCTTTATATTTGTCTATCACAGTTCTAAAACCAGAGATTAAAAAAAATATGTATAATTCCAGATTAAACTCTGTGTTTGTTAGATTTTTTCTCAAGTGCTCAATTTCTTGGCAGCCTTCATATAAGCACAACTTGGCAGCCTTCGTAAAAGTACTATCAGATAGTGTAGATTCCTTACTAGAGGACCAGAGCAATAATTACTAGTCCCCTTCACATGGGCCACATGGGCAGGTCTGTGGGGTACATGCAATGATTCTGTCAATTCCTTTCTTCATCAATGTGTAGGAAAACCCAGGAAAAAAAAAAAGTGAAAATTAAGCACTAAGAACATTTGTGCAAAGACAGGTAGTTAGACAACCATTTTGTGGAGATTTGCAAAAATGAAATAATGGAGAATGCAAATGAGAAGGAAGTTGCTATTGAGTAAGTAAGATTGGTTTAAAAAACTTTAGAACAGTTTCTCAACCTTGGCACTGTTAACATCTTGGGCTAGATAATTCTTTGTTGTGAGGACTGTCCTATGCACTGTAGTATGTTTAACAGCATCCCTAATGTCTGTCTACCCACTAGATGTCAGTACTGTCCATAGTGATGAGGACCAAATGTCTGGTCACTGCTTAGTGTACCCTTTAGGGGCAGGAGTGCTCTCAGTGAGAAACACTAGTTTAGAATGACATATAGTGTATAACCGACAACTAAACCTTCCTGAAAATTAAAGAACTTCGATTTTTGTACACACACACACACACACACACACACACACACACACACACGGGCGCGTGCGCGCAAACCCCTTCATTACTTTGTTTTTCTTCAATTTCTATTTTCTGTAACATCTCAATTTTATTTGTTAAAATTCTTATACTTTTTAGGAAAGTAATTCCTGCATTTGGCCTAGGATTATTGCCATGCTGCTCCAAGAATAGTGGCACTTTACACTTTTTAAAAGCATTATTTTTTAAAAATGTGTGCTATTAGAAAAATCTGTAGTTTCTGGAAAATCATTGATGAACTACTTCATTGAACACAGTGTGTTCATTACTGATGTGTTTTATGATAACACAGTAAGTTGAGCATTAAGATAAATAAAATCCCACAGAGCTTAAATAACTCAACTAACCTTTCTCATGATAGATTTTCTAAAGAAATCAGTTCTGGTTTGGTGGAAATAATATCACCTCCTGGAAGCTATTATCCTGACTTGACAAACTTAAAGACGACATTTGGAGACTCTAAAGAAAGAGTAAGGTGAGCCTGTTTCTTAGAACCCTCACCCTGTGAATGTAATCCTGTCTAATAACAGACAGACATGGTAATTGACTGTACCTTTGCTACACCTCCCATTGGCTAATCAGCATGATATGCAAATTAACTGCCAACAAAGATGGCGGCTGATTTGCATACTGCAGGCAGGGTGGGACAGCGCCATCCCGCTTGCCCTGCAGCCATCTGGGCCTGCTATTTGTGACCCGGGGCGGTGAGCGGGACAGCGCCATCCCACCTGCCCTGCTGCCATCCAGGCCTGCTATCTGCAACCTGGGGCGGTGGGTGTCCGTGTGCGACCTGACCTGGGGCGGTCGGGCGGGGCAGCAGTGATACGCCGTGCCCGGGCATCCTGTGTGCAACCCACCCGGGTGTCCCATGTGCAACCCGACCCAGGGTGGCGCCCCAACCCCCGGATCGGCCCTGCCGTCTACGCGACCCGGGGAGGTGGGGCAGGCACCAAGGGATCGGGCCTGCCATCTTCCACCCCAGAGTGGGCCTAAGCCAGCAGTTGGTTATCTCCCGAGGGGCCCCAGACTGTGAGAGGGCACAAGTGGGGCTGAAGGACACCCCCCAACCCCCCTCCCCTGCCAGTGCACAAATTTTTGTGCACCGGGCCTCTAGTGTATAATAAATGTAGTTCTTTATCAAAGCTTCACATATTTTAGGAGTTAGCCAATTAATGAGAGCCAATGAAATTTGGGGTATTTTATTGGAAATTCTATGGAGTTTCTGATGAGAGGTTGATTTGGTAAACTTTATAATTTTTATAACTGCTGCTCTAATGCTATGACTTTTCTTAAGAGTATATTATCTATAACTCAGAAGTTAATACAGATAGAAATCTCAGATCTGTATGCAGCATAAATGAGGGCTGATTCAATAAAGGGCCAAAAACAATAATACTGTCCTGCAAAATTGTATTATAGTACTTAGTCTATTGGATTTGTGTCTGGCTCTCTAAAACTGAAGGACTTAGCTTTCATTGTGTTATTAAAAACTAAGAAATATTGGTATTAGCTTTGGATTTTCTGTAACTAGAGAAAAGGAAAAATGGTATTTTGGGAAGAGATTTGTACATCTTGAGTTGTTAATTTGTCCCAAAGACAGATATGTCCTCATAACTGGTTAATTGTCTCTCAATAAATATAATTCTATTTTTCAAAAAGTTAGGGTTGAATTTAGTAAAAAATTCTAGGTAGTCATATTAGCTGTATTATGGAGAAGTTTGCTTAATATGATTCAAAGCTTTTATTTTACTGGTTGTTTTTTTTTTACCTGCCTTTTAGAACCACTTCTCTTATTTAAAATTAGTCAGTTTCTATAGGTTACCAGGATTCGCTGAAAGAACTTAATGTTGTAAATTTTAATAGGATGTCTTGGGTTTTAAGCATTCAATACATATTTATTAATTTCTACCTGCTTGGAGCACAGTCCTAGGCACCAGAGCAGTGATCCCCACAGTATAATTGTTGAAGACTAGTTCCCAGAGATATGAAGATGTTACTGAAAAAAGAGTCAGTGGTCAAGGAAGTTTGGAAAATACTGGATTACAATTTTTTTCAACAAATGTATTTACTGCTATATGTTTCATATATTATGTATACATCATGTATATAAAATATATACATATTGTGTCTATGTAATATATTACATATTATAGAATACTAGAAGCCCAGCACGCGAAATCGCGCAGCCCCACCCACTTGCATGCCCACCTGCTGCCCTGCCGCATTTGCAGGTCTGCCCACCCGCGCGGGTCTTGGTTGTTATGGTGTGAGGGCCACAGGCCTTTTAAAATATAGAATACACTGTTATATCATAATATATATCATAAAATGTAATGCATTTAATCCTATATTGCCTAATTTGAGTCTGAGCCTTATTTTTGAAAATTTTTATTTCAGATGGAGAACAAAGCAAAACCTAGATTATTGTTTTCTAATGATGTATGCTCAGGAAAAGGGCATATATTACATTCAGGTAAGTGTGGTTATTTCTTTAATGTGTTTCACACTCTTAAAGAAAAAGTGATAACATCACGGGTATATTTTCATTAAAACGGGGTGTGTTAAAAGTGTAAGCCCTCCCAGATCTCTAAGATCATAACAGTATATCGCGGGCAGAAGCATCTCTCCTACTCACTGAGAATGTGGGCTCTGAAGTTCCATTCTCTGGTTTTGCACAAACACTAGCTCTCCACTTAGTGGTGTGACAGTGGGCAGGTTGCTCATCTCTTTTTTCCTTTTCTCCCATCCCTCCCTCTCCTCTTATCCTCCTCCTCTTCCCTCATCCTCCCGCTCCTTTCTCATCCTCCCTGTTTCCACTGTTAAAAAGAACTAAAAATTAATTATATGGAAAATTTTAAAGAAGGATTTCCATATTTTTTTAATGGTTCTATTAATATAGTGGGGTTTTTTGTATGCTACAATATATTTACATTTAGGTAATAAAACTGACATTTTATTTTATTAGCATGGCTAGAATAGTAAATCTGTAGTGATATGGGTTTTAAGTTAGCCAGGTAGACAACATCTCAGTAATCTGGGAAGCTATTATTTCTTTCAGATTTCATTTTCCTTAGTGACTTAAGCTTAAATTTCCAATTCATTTCTTTCACGAAAGGTCATTATTCCTTGTTTGAAATACAAATACCCCAAGACACTAAGTCTGTCAGGGTTTCTTTTGTGTGTGTTTTTGTTTTGTTTTTTAGTATAAAAAGTTTATTAGGTCCTTATCTAGGAGGATGTTTTGATGAAAGTGTTAAGAAAAGGTATTCTGGTCCCTGAATCAGAAAGGAAATGGTGGGCAGCTACTGTGGGTTGTGAGAGATGGGAAGGGACTTTGAGAGGAGAGGAAAGAAGGAAAAAGCTTGGCATCATATGGGAAGGTGGGCTTAACTAAGGTCAGACTTTGTCTCCCTTGACATTATACCTTGGGCCAGCTGTATTCAAATGGGCATGACCCTGGCTGGCATGGCTTAGTGGTTAGTGTCAGCTTGTGCACTGGAGGGCTTGGGGTTCAACATTCCCAGTCAAGGGCATATACCTGGGTGCAGGTTCAATTCTCCACCTCTAGTCATGGGTGTGTGGGAGGCAACCAATCAATGTTTCTCTCTCTCTCTTCTCCTTCCTCCTCCCTTCTACTCTCTCTAAAAATCAATGAAAAACAAATGTCCTCACCCCTCAGGTGAGGATTAAAACAACACATGACAAATGGGCATGAACTCTTCCTTGGTTCGCAGAAAGGGAGATATAAATGATGGTAGGGTCAGAACTGAACATCTATATATATAGAAAAGCCTAAGTGACTGTTACGACCAGACCGACCGGTCGACCGACCAGTCGCTATGAAGTGTATTGACCACCACGGGCCAGGTGCTCAATGCAGTAGCTGCCCCCTGCTGGTCAGTGTGCTTCCATAGCCAACCTCCCGCGGTCCCTCCCCCCTGCCAGCCTGCCCCTCCCCCCCATAGGCCCTGATCAGAGGGCCAGCCAGCCAATCTCCTGAGGTCTCTCCCCCTGATAGGCCTCAATCTCTGGCCAGGCTGAGGGAGCCCATCTGTGCACGAATTTGTGCCCTGGGCCTCTAGTCCTATCTAATAAAAGACAAAAATGGTAATTGGCGTACGACCGACACCCTTTTCATTGGCTAATCAGGGCTATATGCAAATTAACTGCCAACTAAGATTGGCAGTTTACTGTCAACAAAGATTGACAGTTAACTGCCAACTAAGATTGGCAGTTAACTGCCAACAAGATGGCAGTTAATTTGCATATGTAGGCACAATGCAGGGAGGCGAAAGGGAAAGCAGGAAGAAGCCCCCTGCC